TTTATTGGACTAGTATTTTGTAAAATACAATCACATTTCAATTATTATATATTATATATGTATATAGATTATTACAATTTAGAAATAAGTTCTTAAACCTATTTTTCTTAAAACATAGATAGAACAGTAAATAAAGAAGTAAAGCAAATAATTATCTCTTCTTGTTACGACCTTTGTACTCGGTTGATGATTGGCGTAGATTGCTAAGCTGTAAGAAATTTCGTACGTGAAGGATGTGAAATGAAATAATTTGTTTAGATTTTATTATATATATATATATATATATATTTAAATAAACAAAAAATCATAAATTACTATATTGATACCATAGAATTCCACTATAATTTATCAAATTTAGTAACTAAGCAGTATTTCGGTCTAAAAAAATATGAACTTTCGAGCAGACTAAAGACATAACCTACCTCCTTGAATTCTTGTTTTGAAAGAATGAGATGATGTCCTAACACATGAAAATGGCTGAGAAAGCCACTAGAGGGACATTCTAAGCTTTCAATTGGTTATTCACATGTCACATACACAAGTAAGTGTATATAAGGGACTGTTTCCAAAAATGGAATGAGGTGAACAGGGCCACTGTGTTTGATTCAGCACATGAGGTTCTTATTTCATATTCTAGCTTGTCAATATCGATAATTTTAGTTCATAATTCATACAAAACTATAGACTTAGTATTTTGACATCACAAACATCTAAGTTGAACCAGTGCTGATTTCAACATACCACGTGACACACAAAAACCAATGTTTAACTGTGTTTTTTTAATATTTACTTTTAAATTAAGAAATTGAGTAAGGTATAATACTAACATTTGAATTACAATCTACAGTTTGATACCAAACTTATGGACATAATTTCATAAAATAGTAGTTTAAATAAATTTTGAATGGAAGTCAACAAATGCGATGACATGGCTTTTGACCTGTGACCCATAGAACAGGGTTAATAGCATGCACACATTTTACTAATGTCAAGACAGTACAAATTGCAATGTTAAGCATTCATTATGTGACATCATTTTAGTCAATTTAGTGTATACTGACTGACTGACAGACAACACACTACTGTATAATGGTGTGAGTGGTTAAAACGGGTAACTCCTCAAGGCAGTCTTCGGTCCCCTTTTTGGGGAAAATATGAGCATACATGTTTATTGTGAACAAAAATATTAATTTCCTTATACTTTATAAAATAAACTTACTTCTGCTTTATTAATGTATGTTTTAAATTACGTTATGTGCATAATTATAAACAACTTTTTATTTTAATTCCTACACCTACACGTAGAACTGGATTAATAATGGAACTTGCTAACTGATTAACTGTCAGATTCATTACTTGATTATATTCAAATAATTGATAACTTGCAAATGAGACACTAATATTCCTATTTACAGCCTGTTTTGTCTTTTAATTAACTTTTTAAATCCTGAGCTCTTGTATATGAAAATAAACTCCATACAAAAGATATAATAAAACCTCTAACAAGCTGTAAATATGACTAATAGAATTCCATGCGTTTCTCCCTATAAATTTCCACAAAACTAGCCAGATTTACTAAATTTTTATTGATGAAAATAAACCTTACTTTGTAACATTTATTAATTCTATATAATCTTCAGAAGAAAAAAAACCTCACACTACAAAAAAAAAGATTCTAACAAAACATGACTAGTTTGAGTTATAGGCTAACATCAGGTGTTATTTAAAAACTCATTATAGAGTAAACAAGATTTGACAAACAATACTGACTTCAATAGAAAAATACAGAGATAACAGATCTTGATAAATGGAACACTTACTTATTTTAAACATATTCCAAAAAATTTACTAACTCCCTGAAAGGTTTGACCATTGCAATTTCTTTTTTTTATGTTTGAAATAACTAGTCCATCTACTGAATTCTAGTTGACAGTTCAAAATTAGGGATGGTGGCAGATCACGTTTGTAGTTTGCAATAACTCAAAGACAAGAAACAACCACAATGTCACAGAGGCTGAAACGGTGGGCATGATTGAAGGAATTGGATATGAAACCCTCCAATTACGAGGCAACCACCCTAATTACCAGATCATGCCGGCCAAAGCTGAACAAACTCAAATTAATATAAAAAAAGAAAAGAGATATTGAAAAATCATAATGATAATTATTAATAATTAATAATTTTTATTATTTCAATAGTTGGAATAACAGGAAACCATAATTTCAATTAGTTGATTATTCTTGTGACATTAATTATTTACTCTTAATTTGGATTAACCAATAATTTTACTTGACACTAATCAATGTTATCAATTCTCATAGGTAATCAATTATATCGATCAGTCAAGATAATTACCCAGCTCTACTCAATAGGGTACGAGTTCTGGTTTCTTTTGTTTGTCAAATTGTTCAGTAAATTTGATAAAATATTCACAAAGCTTTTGTAATATGCTCCTTTACTTTTTGAACAAAGGTTTTGAAATCTTGTCATTAGAATTTTAACAACCATAATTGTATGAGAAGTGGGGTGGTGGGAATTAAAAATTAAGATTTTTTTACAAATTTTTAAATTTTTTGTGAAGTACACTAATTAAATGTTATATATTGGTAAAATTTCAATTTTAAAATTTGTATTTAAATTTTGATATTGCAAGTGTGCACTTAAATTATGGGCTAGATTGCTTACGTTATTGAGATTTGTGAAAGTAAATGATAGGTAATACTGTTACTTATTTTAAAAATAGAGCAATACTGTAGTTTTGATTTGACACTGAATTAAAAGTTGCTGTTGTTCAAACTAAATATTTGGAAATTACAAATTATGAATTGCTCTTAACTTCAATAACCACAGTGACCCCACATATCAAAGAATTTTCTGAGCAAATTAAATACATTTCAACAAAACTAAAATTAAAACAGTATACTGACACTGCACAACTTTAAGCAATATTTTTTTTAGCCAAAAAGACTCCTTCCAACCCAAAAATAGGATTGATAGTGTATATAAAATTT